CTCAGTGCCACTCAGACAACACGCATGCTCTTCCACGAACTGGGTCTCATTCTCAATGTTCCAAAGTCATCATTGGAACCACAACAAACAATACAGTTCATAGGCGCTCGTCTAGACTCTACGACCGAACGCGCATCATTACCAATGGAAAGATTCCACACGATGCAGGACTTGATCCAGATCTTACTCGTCAGCCCAAAGGTTCCCATACTACGGTGCCTACAGCTTATGGGACACATGGCCTCCACAACATATGTGGTGAAACACGCAAGGTTACATTTGCGATGCATTCAACATTGGATGGCTCGAATCTGCCCCCCCAATGTGCGCAACGTCCACAGGACAATAACAGTTCCCACCCACGTCAAGAAATCACTTGCTTGGTGGACAATCCCAAACAATCTGCTGTTGGACGTACCCTTTCATCGCCCCCAACCGTCGGTGCAATTGACAACAGATGCGTCACTCATCGGGGGGTGCGCATCTCGGGCCCGAACAGGTACAAGGCCTATGGTCACCAGGCGAGTCGCTGATGCACATCAACTTCCTGGAGCTCAGGGCAGTGTACAAGGCATGTCAACACTTCCTTCCCATCATTCACGACCAGGTCATACGAGTCCTTACAGACAATATGACGACCATTTATTATATAAACAAGCAAGGAGGCGCCAGGTCCCACTTCTTGTGCGCGGAAGCGGTACGTCTATGGAACATGTGCAATCAACACAACGTCTTTCTAATCGCAGAATACCTCCCGGGCCAGCACAATGTAACGGCAGACGCCCTTAGCAGGCACTTTTCTCTCAATCACGAGTGGGAGCTACATCCTGCAGTGCTTTCGATAATATTTCAACTATGGGGTTTCCCGCTAGTGGACCTCTTTGCCACTTCTCACAATGCGAAATGTCCTCGGTATTGCTCGAGAGCGGGGATTGGACGAAATTCGAAAGGCGACGCTTTCCTATACAACGGGGGACGTCACCTACTTTATGCATTCCCACCCACACCCCTAATTCCAGGGTAGTGGAGAAAATTATTCGAGAAAAGGCCACAGTAATCCTAATAGCCTCAGTCTGGCCCAGGCAAACATGGTATCCATACCTACATCGCATGTCGATGCATCCTCCGTTTCCTCTGCCAGCTCGACACGATCTCCTATCCCAGAATCATCGCTCCCTTCTCCATCCGCAGGTGAACCATCTCGTGCTCACGGCTTGGTACCTAGTTGGTTCCAACAGTCAGAAGTGTTATGCTCACAATCTGTCAAACACATTTTACTAAACAGTAGAAAATTATCTACGGAAAACTATCTACATGGACTGCTTACCTTTCCAAATGGTCACGCTTCTCATCGTGGTGTTCCCAGAAGGATCTGAACCCGGTCTCCTCATCTCTGCGGTGTATCCTAGACTACCTGGTACACCTCAAGAATTCAGGCCTCACCTGCGCTTCCATCAGAGTTCATGTCGCTGCAATTGCAGCCTTTCACCAGCCGGTCAACGGATGTTCAGTATTTTCCCATCCAACAACTAAAAGGTTCTTGAAGGGAATGTCCAACCTGTACCCGCACTATACTCAACCAGCGGATCCTTGGGACCTTGAAATAGTTCTCAATTCCCTAACAGCCAGACCTTCGAACCGCTAGCGACCTGCACTTTATATGACCTGTCCATGAAGGTTATTTTCTTATTGGCTATTACTTCCGCGAGGAGAGTGAGTGAGCTAGCTGCACTATCAGCTTCCCCTCCTTATACAATTTTTACGCACCAAGCAGTAATACTCCGAACGCAACCACGTTTTCGCCCCAAAGTGATCTCTCGATTTCACATCAACGAGCCTATAATCCTCCCTATATTCCATCCCAAACCACATGCGTCACCAGAACACGCACGCTTGCACACTTTAGACGTCAGACGGGCCCTCACCTTTTATATCGAGAGGACCAGACCCTTTCGAGTGACGGACTCGTTATTAATATCAATGACGGACCGTTCTAAAGGTCGCCCATTGTCCGCTCAACGCATCTCCTCTACTATCGTACAGTGCATAAGGTCCTGTTATGAACTACGTAAGAAACCACTGCCCTCAACCCTGAGGGCCCACTCGACTCGGGCAGTCGCTACGTCCCCTGCATTCCTCAAGGGAGTCCCCTTGATAGATATCTGCATAGCTGCTACGTGGTCTTCCGACCTAACCTTCGCCACGCATTACGCCATCCCGAACCTGTTAATACCTGATTCCACGGTGGCGACAGCAGTGTTATCCTCAGCTACGGCACGCTAGCTCCGAACCCTCCTCCATTCGCGAGCTACTGCTGTACATTCACCTACAGGACACTGCTCAAAGAAGAAAAAGAAGTTACTCACCCTGTGCAGTAATGATTGTTCTTTGAGATGCGTGTCCCGTGGGTGCTCCACTGTAGGTGTCGGCTTGTCCCAGTGCCGCAGATCGGAGATCTTTTCTAGCCGTGGTCTGCCGGACCATGCATGCGCGAAGTATGGCTCCCCGTATCCAATGGGTGCTCCACTGCAGGCGTCGGGCTTGTCCCGGCGCCGCAGATCGGAGATCTTTTCTAGCTGTAGTCTGCCGGACCGCGCATGCGCGAAGTACGGCTCGTGGCTTTTCGCGCCGTTTGAGCGCCGCTGGTCCGGCTCCCGCCAGTTCCTCCTGCCTCTTGCTCTGAAAGACAAAATAATAGACTCCGAAGAGGGGAGGAGGGCGGGTCGTGGAGCACCCACGGGACATGCATCTCGAAGAACAATCGTTACTGCACAGGGTGAGTAACTTCTTTTTCTCAACCAGTGGTACGAGTACCCTTAGGGGTACTCGAGAGAAGTCTGGGGAGTACGTCAACACAACTGAAATTTGGAGAAAACTGAATTTTTGTTGTAAGTTTTACAGTGCTTTATTTTTTTTGTACTTTTTACACCCAAAAATTGAATTGCCCATGCAGCTATGATTAAGTTGTTTTAACAAATGTGTTGCAATGGTAGAAAAAAATTGTGTCTGAAAACTGAAGGTTCTGGGGGTACTTATAATTTATTACTTTTTAAAAAGGGTTACTTTATAAAAAAAAAAGGTAGAGAAACTCTGCTCTATACCACTTAAAAATAATATAACAGTAATACATTTTAACAAATATAATCTTCTATCACTGACTTGAATTTTGAGAACACTTGAGCTACAGCTACACTACATGCATCTTGCACAAGAGTTTTTGCACAAAAACTTCTTGCACAAGAGCATGTCCATACTCAAAGCTCATTGCAAAAGCGATGTAAGAGAGAGTCCATGCTGCGTGGACGCTCTTATGCGAGAAAGCTCTGATGGCTATTCACAGAATGTCCATCAGAGCACCTGTGCTTTTTTCCATAGGGGTTTCTTGCGCAAAAGGTCTCGGGAGCGTCCACACATGCCTTCTTGCACCATAGCTTTAGCGCTAAAAGCAGTTAAGCCTCAAAAAAGGAGGTTTACCTACAGCAGAAAAAGCCCTCTGTTCTGCTGTTTTAACTTCCCATTTAATTGCACAAGAGCTCATTTGAGGTGTGGACACGCCACAGAAAAACCTTGTAGTGTAGATGTAGCCTTGAGGTGTAGTTGAAAGGCCAACCAAAAAACTTGCAGCCAATGTTCCCTCTAATCTTTTCTACCCATGTGTGGATTTTTTTCCATCCATATATGGAATAATTTTTTTATGTTCGCTAAGGCATGTGTGAATGTGCTCCACCAACAGAAACACAAAACCTATCTGAGGGAGCTCTGCTAATTAGCTGAGTGGCATTTGAATTTCCCCTGAGTGGGCTAACAGGGAACGCTGCTCTTAACTAATCATGATGTTTGAAATTGTGAAGCAAATAAACTTCCTGTGGAATGGGTGTATCAACTGGAGAGTATGCGTCCTGCATACTGATGTTACTTAAATAGTCCTAAAGATGGTATGATAGATGCAAGAGCCGCTATGTGAAATTTGGCATGGACAAAATAAACATTGAAAAGCCTGAGATGTGGCACAGGCTGCCAACTCTCTTTCTTCTACTGAATAAGGAAAATAAATTTATTTTCCCTTGAGGTCAAGTGCCAAGCTGTAATGGAGATTCTCTTTCTTTCTGCAAGGAACACACATGAGAGTAAAATGAGGGGTGGGGGGTAATTTTGTGTATTGCAGGATATACCCCTTTTAGATCACCTGCAAGATCCAGTGGTCTAAGATAAGCGCAGGCCAAGCCTCCTTGAAGAAGGAAATAGGAACCAAAAGGAAAGTAGGAAAAGTGTAGATCCATGAAGTCTAGAGCTGCATCCTCAGTTGAAACATTAAACTGTTGTTTCTGGGATTGAAATGGTTGGCTAGAAGATAATAGAAATGGCTCTTTCTTTTGAAACTTAGACATCTTTCTCATCTGATCTGGTGGTAAAAATAATAGGTGTAAAAATAAGAAGAGGTGGTTGTTGAGACCTCTATCTAGGAGAAAGTTAACATTTATGATGCTTCTCTCTAAAACTGGGGCCACATATTTCCAAAGATCTAAATGTGGTTCAAGAGTTGTTTAAGGAGTGCAATGTGACATCAGTTTTTAAATGTACTAGCTTTTTCCCATCAAATGGTAAGTCTTGTACTGTTTTAGGAACCTCCTTATGGGATCCATATTTCCGTATGCCAAATATGGGAGACCTGGTAAAATTGTTCTTATTTCAGTGAGTTTAACAGCAATCAATCAGAGCTCCTCCTAAACCTGGGGTGGGGAATAAAATGGTGGCAGTTTTCCAGAGTAAGCCCCCAGTGAGCTGCTGCCGATATTTTTACTTGCAGGTACAGGTACTTGCAGCTCCCATTGGCTGGGAATGGCGATCTACGGGCAACGGGCCTGCCAGAGGCTAACTCTGGCAGACTGGATCTGGCCCATGGTCTGGTATTTACCCACCTCTGCCCTAAATGGTAATAGCTATCAGCCCTACTAGCCACCAGCCCCAGAGCTAGTAACCTTCCTCCAACCTGACAGTTCACCTTTCAGTATGACCCGCTGTAGTCTCCCCTTTAACCAGTTGCTTATCCACCTCTCAACTTTCATATTAATCCCTATCTTTTCCAATTTAACCAATAATTCCCCATGTGGTACTGTATCAAATGCCTTACTAAAGTCGAGGTAGATTAGATCCACTGCATTTCCTTTATCTAAAAAAATCTGTTACTTTCTCAAAAAAGGAGATCAGGTTGGTTTGGCATGATCTACCTTTTGTAAAACCATGTTGTAATTTGTCCCAATTGCCATTAGCCTCAATGTCTCTAACTACTTTCTCCTTCAAAATTTTTTCCAGGATCTTACATACTACAGATGTCAAACTAACAGGCCTATAGTTACCCGGGTCGCTTTTTTTCCCTTTCTTAAAAATCTACCTTTTGTAAAACCATGTTGTAATTTGTCCCAATTGCCATTAGCCTCAATGTCTCTAACTACTTTCTCCTTCAAAAATTTTTCCAGGATCTTACATACTACAGATGTCAAACTAACAGGCCTATAGTTACCCGGGTCGCTTTTTTCCCTTTCTTAAAAATCGGAACTATATTAGCAATTCTCCAGTCAAATGGTACAACCCTTATCCCTAAGGTCTTCATTAGCCTCATTAAAGACTGAAGCAAAGTATTTGTTCAAATATTGGGCCATTCCTAGATTATCCTTAACCTCCACTCCATCCTTAGTAATTAGTGGTCCTACTTCTTTTTTTGTTTTTTTCCTATTTATATGGCTATAAAACCTTTTAATATTGGTTTTAATTCCCTTTGCAAGGTCCAACTCTACCTGACTTTTAGCCATTCTCACTTTATCCCTACATGCTCTAACCTCAATAAGGTAGCTTTCTTTACTGATCCCTCCCATTTTCCACTCCTTATAGGCTTTCTGCTTTTTCTTAAGAATCTCTCTGAGATGCTTGCTCATCCAGCTTGGTCTAACACACCTGTCTATAAATTTTTTCCCTTTTCTAGGGATACAGGCTTCTGACAGCTTCTGCAACTTTAACTTAAAATAATTCCAGGCCTCCTCCACTTTAAGATCCATAATTTCTTTAGTCCAATCAACTTCCCTAACGAATTTCCTTAATTTACTAAAGTTAGCCCTTTTGAAATCAAAAACCCTAGTCTCAGATTTATTTTTGTTTATCCTTCCATTTAATTTAAACTGAATTAGCTCATGATCACTCGAGCCAAGGTTGTCTCCTACAACCATTTCATCTATGAGGTCCTCGCTACTCACCAAAACCAAATCTAAAATAGCATCCCCCCTTGTTGGTTCAGCAACTACTTGATGAAGGAATTCATCAGCTATCACATCTAGGAAAATCTGAGCCCTATTATTATTACTAGCACTTGTTCTCCAGTCTATATCTGGAAAGTTGAAATCTCCCATGATTACGCAGTTTCCATGAATATTTACTTCATTAAAAACATTAAAGAGGTCTCTATCCATATCCAAATTGGATCCTGGTGGTCTATAACACACCCCAAGCACTATCCCAGGGGAGGATCTGATAGTTTTCTTCCCCAATGTGATTTTTGCCCAAACGGACTCTGTCTTCTCCATTCCATCACTTTTTATTTCTTTACAATCTACCTCATCTTTGATATACAATGCGACTCCACCACCTTTACCCTTATTTCTGTCTTTCCTAAACAGCACATACCCTTCAATACCTGTACTCCAGTCATGCCTAGTATTCCACCATGTATCTGTTATTCCTATAATATCTGGTTTCACTTCCTGGACCAATAGCTCTAGTTCCTCCTTTTTGTTACCTAGGCTCCTCACAT